GGTTGTAGGGTGAGTGCAGGGGTGTGTTGTGAGCGGTGGGGAGTGTGTGGGTGTTTAGTGGGGTTTTGTGTGGTGTGTTTGTGCGGGTGTGGGGTGTGTGTTTGGGGGGTGTGTGTTTTGGTGTGTTGGGTGTGGGTAGAGGGTGTTGTTGTGGGTGTTGGGTGCGGGGGTGTATGTGTGGGTTGTTAGTTGTTGTTGTTGTTGTTGTTTTTGTGAGGGAGTTGTGTGTGTGTTGTTTGTGGTGTGTTAGTGTGGGAGAGGTGGGAGTGTCGGGTGTGAGAGGAGAGTGGGGAAGAGGGGAGCGGGGCCGGAGGTTGGGGCTCGGCCTGAGGGCAGCCATGAGCAGCCCGGCTGAGGGAGGCGGAGCGGACTCAAGGATTGGCTCGGTGTCTTGGGGCACTGCCCGGCTATATTCCGCGGCCACAGGTTCGAGTCGGCCCGTCTTGGCCAGCCTGGCATCGGCGGGAAGAGCGGGCTGCATGCGGGACTGCGCGTGAACCACCCGCGCCCTCAGCGATCATGCAACACACGCGGCACCGGCCCGGCCCCCCCATGTGCTTTGTTTCCCGTCAAGCGAACGTGGCTATGTCCCGGACCCGTGCTTCAGTCTACGTCTGCCATCGCCGCAGGGTTTGACAACCAGCAAGGTGGGGATGGAGCTGTGGAGTAACTACTGGCAATCTCAGCAATGCACCACTGCAAAGGATCAGGGTGCTCTTCCCAAGCGGGAGCTCAACGCAGAAACACACTCAGGCGGCTCCTGCAGAGGACGGGCACTTCCAAACCAACTCCATGGGAGACAAAATCTCCCTTTTCTTTTCCTTCAATTCATTCTTCTCTTTCTTACAATCACCTACTTACTTCTTGCACCCTTCCCTTCCCTTCCCTTCCCTTCCCTTCCCTTCCCTTCCCTTCCCTTCCCTTCCCTTCCCTTCCCTTCCCTTCCCTTCTTTGAAATTTCCTTTCCTCTTCTTTCTTATTCTCCACTGAGCACTCACACCTATCCCATGACAGAAATTCAGGGGCTTACAATCAACTTTTCCTTAACCTCATCTTACTGCTCTTCAAGCCTGTCTTCTTTCCACTTTTATTTCCCTAGAATAAGAATTGACAAGAGCCAGAAGACTTTTTGCTGGTGATTCACTCCCCCCCCCCCAATTTTATTTTCCCAGATGATAAATAAATCTACAGAAATAAAGGTCACAGGACATCAGAAGACAGCAAACATACTCCATAAGCCATCCAAACTACCTTGTCAATTTGGATTTTTTTAACACAGTTTTAAATCTCTACTTTTTTTTTTTTTTAAACTTCCTTTTTTTCCCTTTACACAGAGTTGTATTCTTGCTATTTTTTGTCTGCAGGGAGCAGGGGATCACCTGTAAAGTTAATGGAAGAGTTAATGAGGGAATGTAGGAATGCAGGAGATTACTATTTTTAGCATGCTTCATCTTATGTAATGAATTTTTTTTCCCCTGTGTGGTATCAAAATAGATACCAAAATACCAAATAGAACTTGGTTTCTGATAAACCTGTTTTATGTCTCAGTGTTTTACAAGAAACCCCTGTAGATACTGATACTGCAGCCACCATGATAAAAATAAATCCGAGGGATCTGGTCATTTACACTTGCCCAGGAAAAACTCTGGTGGAAGGCAGCACCTTGGTACCACAAACTTCTCCTGGGCAGAGCTGAAACTTGGTTTGTGCAGCACATTTCAGGACTGGACATTTCAGTTCTGCTACAGCTTTTATGCTGCTTTCCTTGCTTCTCTCTCAGGCTTCAAGAATTAAACAGGATTGCAAACATCTGCATCACATATTCACTAGGATCAGGGTATGGCTTCCTCTGTCTCTAGTTCCACCTCAAAGTTAAAATAATGATATCTTTAAGTATTTTTTTTTTACTCTGTAAATGCCTTAAACACACACATCAGTATTTCATGGCCCTTTTCAGCTCCTGTATGGAGATAATGCAGCTTTTGCAATGTTTTAAGGGAAACTACAAGAGATAAGCTTGAATAAATTGTAGGTGCTACAAACATGTGCTCCAAATCAAGTTAACTAAAACCCTGGGATCCTCGCTGGAAGAATGCATCATAAATTCTCTTTATTCCCTATATTAGGTGATTATTGTATTTAAAATGTCCACTCAAGCACAGTTTAAGCCTTCAGTGAGGACTTCTGGATGGGTCCGTCCATGTTTGAGTGATATTCCACAGAAGGTAGATATTTCTTCCCCAGTAAATGAGTTATTAGTAAATAACTTCCTGCAACACCAAAGGACAGAATCCAAGGCTGAAATCAGTCTCCTCACTATTCCTTGCCAAGGCTTGAGTGGATGGTGAATTTTGCTTGTTTCCAAGGGGGAGTCTTCCCTCGTGGAAGAGATTCCCACTGAGGGTTATAAGCCCATTCTGGAGAGACAATCACATCAGGAAATCCTCGAGCCAGGAACAGCTGAGGGCTGGGAGAGCTTCAGGGAGACATTTGACAGAAGCCTGCCCTGTGCTGAAGCACTTTTGTGCGCATTCACCTCGCAGGCACTGTCAGGAGGGAGGACCCTGCAGGGCAGGGACCGCATCTGGCCTGGCACAGATGTTCTGGGCAGCAGTTCCCTCCCTGCAGCGCCCTGCTGCCTGTGGTAAACACAGGAATAAAATACTTACCTGCTTCCCAGGGCTTTGTGAGGCTTATCCCATGTCTGTACAATGCTACATGAGTTCCAGCCACTCTGGGAAGCTCCCTGATTAGAAGATTCCTCTCAGATTATGGACTCCTGTATGTCATGTTTGGTGGTTGCTCTGAAACCAGTTCTCAGACCGCTGCTGTATTTTATCCCCACTTTCTGCTGCTTCCAGAGGAATGGAGAGAGAGCTCAGCACACACCCAAAACAGTCCCAGCAGAAATGGGAACACTCAGATGGCTGGTGGGTTTTTCAGCATCTGGCTTCTTGGGGCAGAGCTTTTTGTCCCCACCTGGCAGAGCCAATGGATCCACCCGCTGTCACAGACATCTTTTCATGAAAAGTCCTTTCCTTAGGATTTCTCCTCCTGAGAAGCTGACAGGCCTCAGGAACAAAATGTAAACAATGATTATCTGCTGCTGTGGAATGCAACAGGTGCATCTGTGATTGGTCTCATGTGGTTGTTTCTAATTAATGGCCAATCACAGTCAGCTGGCTCAGACTGTCCGAGACAGAAGCTTTGTTCTCATTCTTTCCTTTCTAGTCTTACTTAGCCTTGTGATGAAACCTTTTCTTCTATTCTTTTAGTGTAGTTTGAATGTAATATATATATGAAAATAATAAATCAAGCCTTCTGAAACATGGAGTCAGATCTACGTCTCTTCCCTTATCCTGGGACCCCTGTGAACACTGTCACAACCCCAGGCCTAGTCATGGATCCAGATCCAAGCCAGCAGAGCCAGCACAGCCCCAGTGCCATGTGGACACCACTCACTGTCCTTCCTGTGCAGGACCTCAGTGTCCAAAGGGAGGTGACAGAGGATGGGCAGGCTCTGCTCCGTGGTGCCCAGCAGCGGGACAAGAGGAATGGGCAGAACTGATGCCCAGGAAGCTCCACCTGAACACGAGGAAGAACTTTCCTCAGCAGTGACTGAGCACTGGGCAGATAGTCTAGAGAGGGTGTGGAGTGTCCTTCACTGGAGATATTCCAGAACCATCTGCACACAATCCTGTGCTGTGTGCTGTGGGATCCTGCTGGAGCAGGGAGGTTGGATCTAGTGACCCACTGTGGTCCCTTCCAGCCTGACCATCCTGTGATTCTGTGATTGTGTGACCTCGCAGAAATGCAGGTCTTTGGTGTGAGGAGTAAATGAATAGAGAATGTAACTCAGTGACAACTTCCCTTCCTCTCCATTCCTGAACTATAATGGCTCACAAATCAGTGGGTAGGAGTCCCAGGGCCAGAAAAGCTGCCTCGTCCTCATGAAGATGGGATGCACAAGGCGTTATTGGATGGTGCTTCTACTCCCCATTTCCTCAGGGAAAGCCCCCGGGAGCTCTTTAGGAAGCTGTCGCTGCCTGGAGCGTGGGGACAGTTCTGGCTTCCCTCCTCATTTTATCCCAGCGAGCGACCTTCGGTGCCCCATTCCTCGGGACAAGCCTCTGCCGCGCCTTTGGGCAGAGCGACAGCCACAGCCCCCAGCGGCATGGGGACACGCTGCCCACCTTCCCCGGTGCCCCGAGGGGCGCCCCGATCCTTCCGCTCCCCCATCTCGGCTGGGGGCGGGCCGGGCCGGGGGCGGCCCCGGCTCCATCGCGGCCCGCCCGCCTTCCGCAGCCAGTCGGGGCGGAGAGGCGGCACTGGAGGCTCCTGCGCCGGCAGCCGGGCGGGCAGCGGCGCACATGGCATGTCTGATGGCGGCTTTCTCCCTGGGCAGCGCTTTGGTAAGGCGAGCCCTGCCTTCCCTCTGCCAGCGCCGGCCGGGGGGCGAGGTGCGGGGCTGGGGGACAGAGATGGAGCCGAGGCTCGGCGGGGAGCTCCCGAGGGAAAAGCGGGGTCGGAGGGTGCGCCCGGAGCTGCGGGGTGCAGGATGGGCGCTGAGGGATGCGCAGGGTGAGGGATGCGGGATGAAGGATGCGGGGTGCAGGATGCGGGATGAAGTATGTGGGGTGCAGGATAGGGGGTGAGGGATGCGGGGTGAGGGATGCGGGATGAAGGATGCGGGGTGCAGGATAGGGGGTGAGGGATGCGGGGTGAGGGATGCGGGATGAAAGATGCGGGATGAAGGATACGGGATGAAGGATGCAGGGTGAGGGATGCGGGATGAAAGATCCGGGATGAAGGATACGGGATGAAGGATGCAGGGTGAGGGATGCGGGATGAAGGATGCGGGATGAAGGATGCGAGTGTGCGAGCGGCTGGCGGCGCACGGCGGGACTTGACCGCTGGTTACCTCAGTCTGTAGCTAAGGCGGGGGGATTATCGCCGAGCATGCTCGCTGCGCCGCTGCGCCCCGCCGGCTTCCCGGCGGATTTGCGGAGGGACCGTAACCTTTGCATAACACCCGGGGCCGGCGGGGGACGCAGCGGGCACAGCCCGCCGGACCGCCCTGCCCCTGCCACCGGCCGGGCTCCGGGAGCGGCCCGGCTCCTCAGCGGCTCCTCCAAACTCCATGGGAAATAGCCCAAAGTGCTCCAAAGCCGCGGAGAGGTGAGCGCGGAGCTGCGGAGCCGCCGGTGCTGCGAGCGCAGGGCTGGGGATGCGGGGCTGGGGCATCGCTGGGGGTGGCAGCGCCGAGGAGAGGGTGCTGCAGGTGTTGGGGCGTGCAGAGGGGGCTCAGGTGTGTCTGTGCCTCTGTGCCTGTCGTAGCCACGGGATTGCCCAGCTTTTTCCAAGCGATCTCTATATCAGGAGGCGTTTGGATCATCCCGGGTGCTCGGGGGATCCTCACCCAGAGCGAGTGGTCCCTGGAGGAGGAAGGTGTGTGAAGAGGCAGCTCGGTCCACACAGTACCTGAAATCGTTTAATGTCCCAGTAACAAAAATCTCTGGCTTCATACTCTTGGATGATTGAGTAGTCAGAGGCAAATCTTGCCCAAAGGATGTTTCTTTTGGAATCGATCTAAACTGGAGAAGCTCTGACTGTCACCTAGATAATCAAGGTGACCTGCTCATTCAGAGTTCATTTTTGGATACTCCCTCTGATTGTGAAAGTGCCCAGTGGTTCCTCAGAACAAAAGAGGTTATGAGTGCCAGAGTGAGCCTTGAAAACATTCAGGGAAGAACATTGTTAACTCGCCCTCTCTTAGTTTCTAGGGAAGTTCCCCAGCTTTGATTGTTGAGCTCTAAGATGTTTCACATTACTCTTGTTATGTTCAAATTACATACCGTGGCAGTGAACTATTTAAGAATTTGACAGTAAGTGTTAGTGGATACCTGACCTCTAAGTAAGGTGAGAGCGTGATTAAAATCTCTTTCTTGAGAAAATGTGGTGAGCAGAGCTGATTATTTTCATCCAGAACTTGGGGCTTGTGCGTGAAGAATGTGAAGATGCCAGCTATGGAGTGGTCAAGCAGAAATACTTTTTTTCCATCAGTGATTATGTAGGACTGGAGGTTTTTAAATGTTTTTGTCAGCATTCATGACAAGTGACTGATCTGAGCTGGGCTGCTCTTACAGCAAAGATGGGAATACCAGGAACCCTGAGAGGGAAATGGAAGAGGCACAGGCAGGAGGAGGCAGTGTCACTTCTTAGCTGAATTAGACAAATTAGAGGGAAACAGTGGCAAGATCTGCAGCTCTCTGTGTGTTCATGGACTGAAAAGTAGTGCAGCACCTCTGCTTTCCAGGAGATAACTTTGTGTTATGTGTCAGCATGGAAGGCCTGGCACATCAGCCATCTACAAAAGTCCTTTCCAATACAAATCTGCATCAAAAATACTAAATTTCCTAGTAGACAAGTGTGCAGATGTTTGGCTCTGCTTGTGACATCCACCAAACAACAGATGACAGTGAACAGCCTTTAAACAGAACTGTTCAAAATTCTGTTTAGCTGAAGAAAATTCATGGCTGCTTTTCTCTTGAGCTTACACACATCCTGCTCATATTGCTGCAAGGCACCTGTGGTGGTAAAAGGAATCCAAAAAATTACAAATTTTGTAGGTATAATTAAAAAAAAAAAAAAGAAGAGAAAGATGGGTAGAAGGCCATTGTCATGGTCAGGAGGGGAGGGGAAGGAGGTTTAGTCCAAAAAGTGCCAAATGGAATTGCACAGAGTGCTGTGATAGGCAAGAGGGATGGCTGTGAGCACAGGACGTTGACCTTACAGTGTCAGTGTTGCAAGAACTGGAGCAGGGTTTGTGTGCTCGTGTAGCTGATAAGATTTCCATTAGTTATCACTATCAAGCATGGAAAGCAGTCAAGGATTTTGGGTGCAAAGCATTGTGCTTTCCTAAAAGACCTCCAGAAAAACCTTGTACTTTCATCCCAGGTTGCAAAGTCTCCAGAACTAGCAGTGCAGGAGAAAATAAAGTATGAAATAGTACATTTGAAAATTCTCAGAAATATAATTTCACCTTGACAGAAGCATAGGCTGATCCAGAGGAGCAAGAGCTGTTAGGTATTTTGAGTGGCTGTCTTTTGAAATGTCTGCACAAATAATTGTTCAGCCAGCTCCCTTCCCCCTTCAGCTCTGTCCCAAGTCCTGGAATCAGAGTAACTAGAACCAAATTCCTTGAGTGCATGAGAAACCAAATACAATGGGGACTGAACTTATAAATGTATTAATCTGGTGCAAGATCTGAAAGAAAAACTAGTGCTAAAGGAACTCTATGTGCTGCAAGAGCTCTTTTACCTCTTCTGTCAAGGCTCAGGCAAAAGAACCAACAAAAGCTTGATTTATTTTACTCCTCTTTCACCTTTCGGCGCAGTACAGCTGGATTTTTGTGCTATTTAAAGAACAATTCTGGCGCAGAAGGTTTTGAAACGTGTTCCCAAACAAAAGTCTGTGAACTTTCTCCATTTCCCTGCAGGGTGGCAGCAGCTCTGGTTGCACCATGGCCGAGCCCAAGTCTGTGTGTGTTTCTGTGGACGAGGTGGTCTCCAACGGCACCGACACCCAGGACATCCACCTCATCAATGGACACTTGAAGAAAGTGGACAATGCTCTGACAGAAGCTCACAGGTTCTCCTACCTGCCCCGCAGGCCAGCTGTGAACATTGAGTTCAAAGAACTGTCCTACTCCATCCAGGAAGGGCCGTGGTGGAGAAAGAAAGGTGAGGAAAACGAGGTTCCATCCACAGTTCATACAACTGCTCGTTTCTACCTCCCAATTCTTGAGGATCTGAAGTAAATATAGTGTTGCTGTGCTGCCAAATATCTGTCCTGTGATCCTGCCTTGTCTACAATTTATTGTTGAGGGTGGGTAGAGCACGCAGGAGTTTAAAATGGGGGTGGGGGAAGTGAGGAGGCTTTGTTATTTTACTCCTGCAATTGGCTGCTTTGTGAGATGGTTGTTTTTTCAGTACTCTTTCAGAACAGGGAGTATCTCAGAATTTCAGAAGGCATTAGAGACCAGGATAAAAACTGTTTTCCTTAAAGGCTCTGTTTGGAAAGAAATGCTGTGGGCTCTAGGTTTCTCTACAGCTTAGATGGGTCTCTCAAAGCTTGTAATTTCTGTGATGAAATCACTGGGACTGAATCCTGAGGTTCAGTCAAGGACCACGATGCTCTTTGGTTTGCTGATGCACACTGCAAAGAGTTCACTGCAAAATGATAAATATTGGGCACTTCTCAAAGAAGAGAAGTTTGGAGTAAGAAGAGATTATTCAGCTCTCTTCTCTATAGGTTCTTCGTTGATTCCAGTTCTAAAAGATGATTCTGTCCTTTCTCCTCTGCTTGGCATCAGTTCCTTTCATGCCTTCGTTTGCTTTGTGTAACCATGTGTTTCCTAGAGAGTTTTTGGGGTTTTTTTTGGTGTGTGTGGCTGCTCCTCTCTGAAAGGAAAACTAGGTCATGCAGTAAATTCCTGCCAGCAAAAAGAAGTGTGCCCAAGAGAAAACTATTGAAATCTCCAGGAGAATTTTGTGTACTAAATGCCACAATTGCCCTTCCTTGAGGAACTCTCTCCCAGCAGTGGAAATTGGCATGGTTGTGTGCTTCAGTTCTTTTTAGAGATAAGGCCCTGCCAGTGCAGCCCTCACCTGAGCCATGCTTGGTACCTGCACTGGCCCTGAAACTACAAATCCACTGGCTTGAAGGTCCCACTCGAAATTGTTTCACCAAGCACTTGGCTGCTGTCTGTGAATTGTATCATTATCACAACACCAAGGCTTCAATAGTCTAAAAATGTGTGGAATGAAAAGCTCTGGAGCTGTTGCCATGAAAGTGCTACTGTATGCGGACAGGCTGTGCATACAATTATTCATTTGTTGAAAGATCTGCAGATTTCATGCTTTAATGGGTTTTTCAACATCAAAACTGTGTGTAGACCCACTGGCCTTCTTTTAATTACTTGCTAAAATTGCATGGAGCCACATTGTCCATAGGAGAACAGTTTGGTTTGGCAGCAACTTTGGTACATTCAAAATTATTCTTTATCTTATCAGAATGAACACAAAACACTGAAGGTTTTTTTTGTCCTCCAAGAAATGGAGCTATGCCAAAATGTCTCATTTAAGATTTAAAAGCTTGGGATTTCTAACTGAATCTCTTTCTCACTGGCCAGGATTGATTGAGGGATTCTATACCCAAAACCCCTGTTCAGATTTTCTGACATGCCTGGGTGACTTGGCTTGAAGAAAACAATGTCCTGGCAAAACACCCTGCTGCTGGAAATGTGGAAGTTGTCTTGCTTAGACAGAAATCTGGGCCAGGTGACCTCCAAAGGTCTCTCCCTTCAGTGTTTCAGCGAGTTGCTGGTCAGATTGTAAAAACCTTCTAGAACCAAACTTTCCTCCCAGCCACGTTCCCTCCTCCAGGGACTGGCTCAATACATTGGTTTTAAGAGGAAAGATTTTCCATTAGAGAAATAGAAAACCAAATTGCCCAAATAGTCCCCAGTGAAGGTAGGAACCAAACACTTCAGATTCTCTCAATTGTTTTAGTGGTTCTGCAAGTAGAAGATTTTTTGTGTGTAATTTGGGATATATCTGTTCAAACCTGGTGGATTACATTTAAAACTATTCTGAATACCTTACACTGGTTCCTGTTCCAATGGGAAACTGGGACTTTATTGCCCTTCTCTTGGGCACTGCATTGTGCCTCCAAACACTGGTGGTTGCTGCAGTTCAGAACTCCTTGTGGATTCCCTGTGCTAAAAGGCTCTCTCATTGCTGTAATGTGAAATATTTGAATTCACTTTTTTTTATGAGAAGAGTAGCAGAAAAATGCTGGGAAAAAAAAAAGAAAGGAGATGTCTCTCAGTTCACATTGTTCTTGGGTGCTGGTTGTGGTAAGAAGAGATAAGGAATGCTGTTTCAAAAATGTCTTTTAATTAATGGTGTTTCTATTCTTAAATGGAGCTTGAAAAAGAAAATCTACTATTTCTACATCGTTTTCTATGACTGTAATGAATTAGTTAAAACCTTTCAAGGGTGTTGGATCACAAAGGCAGAAGTGCAGTTTCCTTGCAAAGACAATTTGTGCCAGCATGTTGGACAGGAATTCAGCTGAAGAGCAATTCCCTTCAGTAAAAATGGCATTGCAAAGTAATGTTAAGGTTAATCTCTAAATGAGCAGAAGGAGGAATAATTAGCAGTGCTGCCATTGTGTTCTGTGCTTAGCTTGATTGTTCAGACAATGCAACTCATGGTAAGTCATGTCTTTTAGTTTTCATTAAAAGCCCAAAGAAAGGTGAATTTGCATTGCTTGTCAACAACAAAGAAGCTAAAGAAGCCATAGTAGACTTCAAATTGGAATTTTTAATTTATTTTTGTCTCAGCCTTAAACTGCTTAATTAAACTATTAAATATAATTTTCTCTTTAAATATAGGGAGGGGCATTTTGATTCTGAGGTTTATATGATAAATGCTGCTCTCCTTCTGAGGTTTTATCAGACTCATGGCAGAGATTGGTGTGACTCTGGAGCTGGTTAATTCCTGCTGTAATTTCTCCTGTGGTCAGTGGGATTAACAGGGAAGGAATATGGCAAGCCAGTCCTTGATCAAAGCTGCTCCATCTGACCCATTCCATTCAGCAGGAGCTGTTGCCAACATGGGAATTTGGGAGAAGGTAAAGAGGTAAAATTTCAGAAGGTCTCAGCTGACTTTGGCATTTTCCCCATAAAACTTTCAGGGAATTAGTCAACAGGTAGAAACAATATTCCTTCAGGTTTGAAGGAAAGGGATTTTTGAGTGACTTGCGAGGTTAAGGATCTTCCAGAACTGAAAATGTGTCTCAGCCTTTGCATCCAGGCTACGTTCAAGCACGTCCTGGGGGTTTCCTGTGGGTCAGCGAGGTTCATGGTTTCAGAAAGCCCCAGGGCTCCTGGAGGAACTGCTGTGAGGTTGAGATGGACTGGCAAAAAGGGAACTTCAGCACATTTGGTAGAAATAATGGGCTGCTTAGTCAGGATACTTCTCCTTTCTTTTAGGATGAGGGACCCAGCTGGCTTGGAGGGGAAAAGAAAGAGCCCTGTGTTAGATCCAGCGTGGATCCTTAAATGTGAAAAGCGAGATCTGCAGAGCTTTGGAACAAAACATGGCCAAAGTTTCACTGTCTTGTCACAAAGCCATTTATCTAAGGGCTGAGGAAGAGATGGAAGTGGGTCTTGGTTTCTGAGCTGTATATTTAAACTGCACTTTGAAATATAAATGGGAACACAGAGATTGGTTTTACCAGTTCACAGAAAAATTACAGACAGGTAGGTTTTCATACTAGGACTCCTGAAAACTGCTTGCAAGAGGATTTGGTAGAAAAGTCAGTGCCTCGGGTTTCTGTCATTTTTGTTAAAAGCACCATGAAATAATCTGAATTGTGGTTTGGGGATGAATTATGTATAGCCCCCTATATACAAAGGGGGCATGAAAAGTACTTTGGAGCTTTCTGTCTGGGTCAAAGTCATTCAGCTTTACTTGGAAAAGATACATACATTCTATATAGCCACGAAAGGACATTTGTTCTATTTTTTCTAGGTGGGTTTGCTATAATATAGGATGGAGATGGAAATATTCTGCCCATATAATTGAGTGCATCCAGCAAGAAAATAGTAATAAATTTGCTTGTAAAACACCACAACAACTCAGGGATTGCTTTTCTTTTATTTCTTTTTTTTTTCCCCTCCCTCCCCTCTCACACTTCTCAGTATTCATGGTTAATTAGGCAACGTTTTAGTTGGAAATTTCTCCGTTGTTATTTTTAGGGCTGTAATGAGTCACTTGCGCTGCGTTGAGCTCTGCTGGGATTTGGTCTGGAGTAACCTCGGAGGGGCAGGCTCCAGCCGGGCACCGTGCAAACCGGGGATTTTCACTGCAGGAATCCATGCTCGGCACAAAACGCCCCATTTCTTGTTATTTTGGGTTTGTTCTGATGGCTCCAGCCCCGTGCAAGCAAAGCGGAGCGGTGCTGGTGCTGTCTTTGCTGCCCGGGTTGTTGTTGCGCAGCTTTGGGCGGCAGGAGGGGAATGGAGCACTCGGATGGCTCCGGGGTGTCCGGGGGGGAACACGGAGCCCTGGGCAGGTGTTTGGTATTCATGGAAGGCCAGGAGTGGCCGTCACAGCCCGAGATAGTGCCATCGGAACAGCGCGATCCCAGCGCCGCGTGTGGTGCTAATGCCGCTCTCTGCATAAGATGGAAACTTCACCTGTCAAACCATCAGCGGAGATTTAACCAGCCTGGGCTTTGCCGATTGGCTTCGGTGCTGTCTTAGGAATTAGCTCTGCAACACACGCTCGGACAGACCCCTTTCTTTTTATTTAGCTGTGCGCTTTATTTATTTAATTTTTTCGCAGCATCCTCTGTATGACTTCACTGCAAACATCCCCCACTCCCCTCTCCCATCCCCTCCGGAGATGCCCAAAGGGAACGCAGGGGAGGCGGGGGGCGGCAGGGGGGATTTGGCGGGGATGAAGCGCTAATCCGTGCTGGGGAGCGGGCACGGCCCGGCCGGGGCTGGCGCTGGGGCTGGGGCTGGGGCAGGTGCGGTGCCGGAGGTGCCGCAAGCCCGCCCGGGCGGCGCGGTTACTGCCGGGCAATGCACTGCAGTAACCCGGGCGCTGCCGCTGTTGCTAAGATGGGAAAGGAGGGAGGGAGGGATGCAGAACGGGAGCGAGCAAAA